AGTCGATTTGTTGACAGTACTTCTCTGCCGTAATTGTTTCACCAGGATTCAGGAAGCTGTGATGGATGAGACCGGCGGCAGACCACCAAACATGAGGTTCATCTTCAAGGCTGGTGTTGCCACAGCGAAACTTCTGGAACCAACGTTGGACCGTAGATTCGTTGATACTTCCTTGACCCCAAACTTCGTTGATGTTCCGAGCTGTATCGGCAGCGTTTCGTCCTAGCTTGAACTCATAGAAGAAAATAGTGCGAAATTCACGTTTCGACATCTGCAATAAAATGTCAATAAAAATTATAATAAAATGAATTACAACCAATCTTGGAGTATCATTTAGAAAGAGCATGAGATGAGCTTCCGAATAGTATATAACACTTCATATTAAAGTAACATATTATTGGAATAAAATAAGTATGAAATACAAGCAAGCAAAATCCTGCATTTCTTTTGCAACGACCTAATAACATTATCAATTTGTGTAAGAGATACTAAATCTGCCAAAGTAGCTAGTCCAACCACGGCACGTGGTACATTGAAGATAGCCAGCGAGGGGGAGGGGTCGTATTTGGTTGGCGGAGGAGGGAGGGTCAAACATCTTTTGGAGAAGAATGTTCTCGGTAGTTAACTTTCCTCGGTTTTTTCCTTTTTAGGTGCGCCGTATGAGGGATACCTACGTCGCAGAAAGATGCTTTTCCCAACAGCGGGACATACTCTGAGTCTAACACTGAAGATGAAGAAAATCTAGAAAATTGGAAATGGTTTCAAAACAAGATTTTTCTGTCAAATTACATCACATTTTCAGGATCTTCATCCAACTACGTGCCATCGACAAGCTACAACACTCAGCAGTACAATCCAAGTTCATCTTCAGGCTACTACAGCCCGTCGACAGGCTACAGTAATCAACAATACAATCCAAGCTCGTCCTACGGATACTACAGTGGATCAGCCAATCAGAACTATAACCCAAGCTCAAACTCGCCCACCAAGTACTACGACGCCGTTCTGAACACCAACCTTGGCTATCCCAATCAAAACCAGCCACAACAATACCAGTACAGTACTGGCTATGGCCAAGCGAACAGTAATCAGAACTATTATGGACAAAACCAGCAATACTCAAACACCCAACAACAGTACGGCCAACAGCAGTACGGTCAACAGTATGACAACAGCCAAAGCTGGTGTTGTGGCCCAACCTCTACATCATGTTGCTATCAGACCAGCACGAGCTCGTCCAACTCTATGTATT